TTTCTTTGATTTTTTTTTTTTTTTTTTTTTTTTTAATTTATTTATTTCAGTGCCACAGCTGATTTTCCTTATGCGTTTTTGCTTTTTGTTTTGTTTTGTTTTTTTTGTTTTTCAGAAAAGAGCTGTTATAGTTACATTTGGGACGCACTTCTATGCATCTGTTTTATCACGTTTTGGCATATTTTTTGGTGACCTGTGACTTGTGAGCTGGAGCTGTGAGCTGTGAGCTGTGAGCTGTGAGCTGTGAGCTGTGAGCTGTGAGCTGTGAGCTGTGAGCTGTGAGCTGCAAAAGAAACCTGCCGCTTATCAGAACCCTTGAATTTTTAAAAACTCTGCATGCACGCATAAGACGATAAATGAATTTGGTTCCATAAACTTAGCTTTCAAGCAATAGTTTTCATTTAGCAAGATACAGAGAAAAACGAACCTCATAGCCTTTAAAGTAAGTAAAGAAATTTTGAATAAATTTCGGAAGCAACGTTTCTGTAACTAAACTTCATTCCATTATATTCACAAAAGTTTTAAAAATTCTCGTTGAATTACCTCGCCGAGCGTATGAGGTTTTTATTACTTGCAAACTTTTTGAATGGTCTTTTATTTCCGTGTTGACCGATTCTGCCTACGAATACCTGCATTTTACCGTCAGTTGTTGTGGTCTGGTCTCTGCCATTGTGCTGTTGAAATGCTCGGAGACATTAGCTGTTAAAGCTACTCTACAATCCGAGGGTAAATAAAGTAATAGTAGATGTCGGCGGTAACCGTGTCACGTTTCGCGCGCTGAACGTTCGCATAAAGATTAAAAAAAAACAAAAAAACAAAAAAACTCCTCGCATTGTGAGCTTGGGCCGCCTATGTACTAAACATTAACAATCGATTATTTTAAGTCAGGCCGCTTGACATGCTTACCTTCACAAGAGGGTGTTTGATGACTCCACTCTCCCTCGTTGCATGTTATAGTTGAAGCTCCCACAAGATCAAAAGTCCTGTTTTTACATCGAAACTGTACAATACCACCATGGGAGTGGTTCTGGCCTAACTTCCACCCATTTTGAGGCTTTCCGGGATCCTGACAACGTTCTTATGAAGAATGAATAATTAAGAATGTTTATGCAAATAATAACGAAATGCTGGTGGGTACCTTAAGAAAACGCTGAAAAGGTAGTACTCAGTGTTGTAATTTATTTATTTATTTATTTGTTTGTTTACTTATTTATTTATTTATATGTTTATTTACTTTAGTTTTTCACTTAACGTTCTGTCGCTGCTAGCCGACAAATGTAGCCATCAATGAAACAAAAGCAAGGAATAATGTTTATCGTCCGTCATGTTGCTCTGGCACGTGACAATGCAAATATTGAGTGTAAAAACTTAACGAAGACGATGTTGTTTAATAGATCCATATGGTGTAGTAAGATACTGGTAAAAGAAAATATTTGTGATCGTCTGTGGAAACATTGGGGTGACCGGCCTACACAACTCCTATCCACGTGAAATAGCCGCTTTGAAAGTTTTGCTCGAACTGGTATATCTGTAAGGATCTGCCCCTTTTGCATGGTACGATAGGGGGATCTTTGAATGTTTTGCGAAGCAGTGGTTGATTTTGGATTGAATGCCAGTGTTAAACGAGGGTGACAGGCCGTACATGGCCGGACTTCTACGCTTCTTGACATTAGTATATTTTTCTTAATCTCGGTCTCGCGATCTTTTTTGCTCCACACTTGTTTCTGAAGGGCACTCAATGCTGTGTTTTTAGGAGGACATTTCATTAGAGTAGAGCCGCTGGAGTCCATAGGTCTGTGTGGTTTCCGCTGTCATCCGCGTATAATTTGTAGATTGACACCTCTGTGTTTTGCCACGTGCTATTTTTTTTCGGCTTATTTATATTGCAAGATATGTTTTAGGCTCTCTAAATATTAACTCTGGATTGAAAAAGTTTGAAAGATTCCGTGAACATGTTGGTTACTTGCATTTTGTATTATTAGGCCGGGCCCGGTAGGCTCACGTTTGAAACATAGATGATCGCTTAACTCTTCTCTCGTGCGGTTGACTCTAAGGTGGGCCTACTCGCAAGCTTTACCTGAGTAAGTTATCAGTATGATCCTGCATCTCAATAGGGCAGAAAGATGTAGCTGGAACTACTCTTTCTATTTGCATCATCACTTACTTTTACATGCTGGGATTCTACCGTTCCATATTCCTTTTTTGCAAGTTGAAGAGGCTGGGCCTTCTAAATCGTAGCCAAAATTACACTCAAATATAACTGAGGAGCCATAACTGAAGTCGTCCCCGATGACGCGTCCGTTCTCGAGTGGTCCCGGATCTCTACAAAGTCCTGCATGAAAATATTGACAAGAAGCAGATAAGCAGTGTGTCCGAAACTCTTACCGCTCTGTGATAATCGATCCGTCGATCGATTGCCCACCGACCTACCAAGTTACCGAGCTACTGAGCTACCTACCTACCTACCTACCTACCTACCTACCTACCTGCTTGCCTCCCTGCCAGTAAACCAGATCGCTTTTGAATAAAAATGAAAAATAAAAGTATTTCATCCAACAATTTGACATTTTAGGGTATTTTTGTTATAAAAGGAGGCGCTTTAAACAAAATATACATTGGTGAATGGCTCAAACCTTTGCAAGTTGGAGAATTTGCATTCCATTTGCCATCGATGCACATAATCTGCTGGGAGCCTTGCAGTTGAAATCCTTTGTTGCATGAGAATGAGATTACTGCTCCATGGTTTGTATTGTGGCTGTTTACCTTGCCATTAGAGATCGCTGGCAGTGGATCACAAATCGCTGTAAAAGGGGAGAAAACAGAATAACACTTAACTTCATAGATTGCTCGGTATTTCAGATGGTGATTTAATGTTATGTGCTATCTACCTTTACATTCCGGCCTTTCTGAATCCCAGCTGCCATCCTCACAGGTCATTTGTGGCTTCCCTACCAAACTGTAGCCCTGTGTAGTGCATTCATATGTCACCATCTGACCANTTGCAAGTTGGAGAATTTGCATTCCATTCGCCATCGATGCACATAATCTGCTGGGAGCCTTGCAGTTGAAATCCTTCGTTGCATGAGTACGAGACTACTGCTCCGTGGTCTGTATTGTGGCTATTTACTTTGCCATTAGAGAGCGCTGGCAGTGGATCACAAGTCGCTGTGAAAGGGGAGAAAACAGGAGAAAACTTAAATTCATTGATTGCTTGGTATTTTAGGTGGTGATTTAATGTTATGTGCTATCTACCTTTACATTCCGGCCTTCCTGAATCCCAGCTGCCATCGTTACAGGTCATTTCTGGCTTCCCTACCAAACTGTAGCCCTGTGTAGTGCATTCATATGTCACCATCTGACCATGCGAAAAGTGGTTGCCATTTCTTCTCCCTCGAGCTAAATGACCAGGATCATCACAAGATGCTAACAGAGGAACATATGATAGGAAAATATTACAAAATATCATATAATGTGCCTATGGAATAAAATATTTCCCAACAGAAATAAAGACATTTGAGTGTTGAAATTTAAAAAAAAAATGGCGGTAAAATTCGCAAGCAAATTTAAAAAAGGTCTTAGGGCCTCAAACATCCCAAATTTGCCATTACTTAAGGTAACACCTTTTTGGAAAACTGGGTACGAGATATTTATGTTACAAACCCTGTGACGTCATAGAGTTTTTAAAAAGGCTTTTTACCGAAGAGTATACAACAAAGTAGCATGCATTTGCTGCTTAGAAAATATTTTCGTCCTCGTTTTATAGCACTTTTTACCTGCCTTTACTATTTTCACTGTATCTTTCACTGTATCTTTTGAAAAAAATGGCACGAGTTGGACCAACCCTGCGACGTTATCAAATCAAAATGGCCAAACGAGCAAATGTTTTCCTGATTGATCACGTGTCCATGAGAGATCACAGTATCAAATTTAAAGAAGAGTGGAAGATTCAGAGTCCACAACATTACAATCAATACCACAGATCTGAACCAGTTTAGCCAACTTACCCTTGCAAGAAGGAAGCTTTCTATCCCAAAACCCATCGTCACAATTACGAATGTTGGAGCCAGTTAAAGTGTACGATACAGCACAAGCGTACTCTAAATGGCTGCCATGTGGCAAGAGTTCACCTATTATAAAAATGCCGTTTGTCGTGTAACCATTGTCTAGGTTATCATCGAAAGCACATCGAGCTGGAAAATACAAACATATTACCCACTTTAGTTCTTTATAACGCTTGGACTCTCAAGAGGCGAAGTTAACAACCACAGAGAGAAATGCAAAACGCTAAACAAATCCAGCATTGCAGAAATTAATGCTTAGAAGCTTTGAATTAAACATTAACAAACTGCAACTAACACTATTTACCACGTACAGCGTTACATTTTATACTCAGTGTATTTACACTGTCGGCTAACAAATTTGTCTTTGGCGAAAGGGGNCTACTACCATCTAGTTGATAATTTCGATCGCAAGTAAATACCACTAACGAGTCGTGTCTGAAGTCGTTTCCTTGCATACGTCCATTAGGTGGTGTTCCTGGGTTGATGCATGGTGCTAAAAGGCAAGATATTAATTTAATAAACGTCGGGTGCCCGGAATAAGGAATTCAGTACTACATTCGGAAGGAAAAACATGGCAAATTCCTTGAGCAATGACATAAAAATCCACAAAATTTGGAGTCCAACGTTTCAATCTTTCAAAGCCACAAGTTGATATAATTCGTTCAGGCCCAAAACGTCCCCTGGCCGAAAAAGGGTCAACACCATTAAATAATAGAGGATTTACTTAGAGAGATGTGTTTGTGAGGGAAAAATAAGTATTACATTTTAAATTTCATTATAAAGTATTTGTATTTTTATTCACCTTTACATTCTGGGGGATCGAGGTCCCACCCTCCATCATTGCATGTCAGTTTGTCGTTGCCTTTGAGAGTATACTCTGCATCGCATCGATACCAAACTGTTTTGCCGTGCCTGTAATCAGCACCGATCTTTTTTCCGTGAACTAAACCGCCAGGATTTAGGCAGAAAGCTAGAAAATAAAAATAGACATGATTAGATTGGTCTATAGCGAGTATCTTCTGTGCGACGAGTTTGTAATTGGGTTACCGAGGTCATCAATCCAAATGCTTGAACTGTTGGACAAAGTCCCTTTATATCAGCTATATATTGTTTCGTGCTGTCGACTCCAGAAATAATACTAATAAAAAAAAGATGGACTCTTGCAAGTACTTCTCGAGCAAGCTAGGTTAGTAAGTAGTTTATAACATGGCACTTGTCGGCTTTCGGAAACAAAACATTCAACATACCAATCAGTCCAATCAGAACGCACGGATTTATTTTAAGTCTATCTTGCCATATAATAATTTTATGTAAATTATATATTTTCATATTAAATTCTTTTATTAAATGACTCTTAAACGTTTTGCGCTAAGGAGTTTTAAATCCCCAAGTTACAAATTCAATCAAACTTTTGATTTTCGGTTCTGTTTCTCGCGTTTCAGTACATAGGGCCCCACAGTTGGTGTCTGTGAGAGAAATGTCTCAAGTGGTATTGAGCGCAGCGGTAACGTTCTTATCTCCTTTTCAGTATTACTCTGATCACTACAAGAAACCTCGTTCTTTCGTGGGTTCGGTTTTGACATTTATGTAATTTCCTCTGTTTGCGTGAAGTTTGCAGTTACCATAAATAATAACTCGGGAAAAGTAGCAATCCACCGTTTGTTTTCGAACCTAGTGGAAAAACGTTTACTGAATTAAATTTCTAAAATCTTTTGATAATTTTAGCTGTTCATTTGTTATATCTGTAATAGAAATTTAGATATGTATCCAGTTCAAGGTCAATATTGCTGATATTGATCGTATTAACCGACCTTTACAAACTGGAGCATCACTGGTCCAGCGTCCATTGTCGCATTCCTGTGTCTTAGATCCAACCATCGTGTAATCTGGTAGGCAGCCGTAAGTTATTTTTTCACCGTGCTTGATCATGGCATTTTTCTTACTTCTGCCTTCCACATATAAACCTCCTCTGGGTAGTCTTGAAAAACTGCAACGAGCTAGCAAGACAATGTACTTTAATAAAGTTGCCACAAGATAGCTTCAATTGACAATGACTTATCAGAATACTTTTTGTGTTGTTTAATTTTTTTTTTCCTTAAGGTACAACTACAAACTGCCTTGTATAATCAATAAACCTTACGTTTTTTCATTTACATATTAAATATAATCCAGTATATATGTGACACAATTTCACATATCAAGGGCAGAATGTCTCGTTCTCAGTGGGCGGTTGCAAACAGACCGAAGATCAAGTAGTTTAAACCCGTAATGTGCAAATTAACACTAATTTGCAAGTAAAGGTTGATATGAATAACCGTGTTAAAAATAGTTATCACCTTTGCATTCAGGTATGACACCACTCCACGCTCCACGTCTACACCGAATTGTGTCATTCCCCACTAAGTCGTGATTTCTATTGCATTCAAATGTAACTGTTTGCCCCTCCTGAAAATTGTCATTCAGGCGTTTTCCTTTGGATGGTTCACCGGGATCTGGACACACTGCTGTGTTAAAAAGAAGAAAATAATAATAATAAAAAAACATGACAAATGAGATCTAGAGTTAAAAGAAAAACACGCAAAAATAAATAAAGGTTAAAAGATCTGCCGCGGTTGTCATTTCAGTTAATGCCTTTATACTGGTTCTTAAAAGCTGTGTTCCATGCATGTTCCCCATCACCTTTCCTTTTAATAGATCACTGAGCAAACCTGTTTGAACTTCTTAGACTAGATCAAACATTGTAAGAGAAAATTCGCTAAAATTATAAGAGAAGCGAACCAGAAGAGAAGCGAACCAGGCACANAAAAAATACAAAACATACAAAAAATACAAAAATACACGAATTAATCCATTAACTTTTTTGGGATGATTTCGCGAGCTTTTGCAAAAGTCAAATGAAAATAGAATTGCTTGATTAAAATCACATACTGAAGTGTCGCAGCATTCTAAAACTTAAAATACACATTTTAGATCCGTAGTTTAATTTAAGTGTCCGAGCAGTATTTTTTCAAGGGTGGGAAAAAGTTTGTCTTTATCTCATACACTATACAAATACAGTATATACAAATATGATCAAATTTTAACGATCTCTCAAGAACAAGCTCACCTTTACAAACTGGTATACTGGAATCCCAATTCTTTCCAACGCAGCGTATTCTGTCGTTTCCAAACAAGTCATGGTTGCTGTCGCAGGAATATGTAACTTCATCTCCGTCGATAAATCGAACCTTATTCCCATGCAATCTTCCTCTGTTTGGGGTTCTCGGTCGTGGGCAAATACCTGTTCAAACGAAAACTCTATCAACTTTCGACGTTTTTAGTTGTTTCAGATTTTTATTCTTTTGTACAATCAACCCAAAACTTGTTTTGTCTAACCTTTGCAGACTGGAGCTGGATTGTTCCAGTTACCATCATTGCACGTGATGGGAGAGGCACCAACCCTTGTATAGCCAAAAGA